GGTCAGGGGAGGATGGAGGCCACACCATGACTTTCTCTCCTTTTATCCCCATAGCAGCCATTGATGCAGAGGTATTCTTTGCAGCATGAGATTGTCATGCATGAAAATGATTTTACTACGGAAAGCATAGTTATTCCTTCTGTACCAGGGAAGAAAGTGGTCAGTCATAAACTCCACATACTTTGCAGAGGTCATCTTTACACCTTCGGGGACCCTAAAGGGTCCAAACAGCTCTGTTCCCATGATTCCGGCCCAAAACAGGACTCCACCACCGCCTTGCTGACGTCGCAGCCTTGTTGGAACAGGGTGGCCGTCCACCAACTATCCACTACTCCATCCATCTGGACCATCCAGGGTTGCACAGCACTCATCAGTGAACAGGACTGTTTGAAAATTAGTCTTCATGTATTTTTCTGCCCAATGCAGCTGTTTCTGCTTGTGAGCATTGGTTAGTGGTGGCCGAATAGAAGGTTTATGCACAGTTGCAAGACTCTGGAGGACTCTACATCTTGATGTCCATGGGACTCCAGAGGCACCAGCAGCTTCAAATATCTCTTTGCTGCTATGTAATGGTATTTTAACAGCTGCTTTCTTGATCTGATGCATGGATCTGGCAGAAATCTTCCTCAGTGTGCCTTTATCTGCACGAACCCGTCTGTGCTCTGAATCAGCCACAAATCTCTTAATAGTGCGATGATCACGCTTAAGTTTTTGTGAAATATCTAATGTTTTCATACCTCGTCCAAGGCATTGAACTATTTCACTCTTTTCGGCAGCAGAGAAATCCTTTTTCTTCCCCATATTGCTTGAAAATGGTGCTCTGCTTAATAATGTGGAACACCCTCCTTTAGTAGTTTTTCCTTAAATTGGGCTCACCTGCCAATCTAATTATTACAGGTGTCCGAGATTGTTTTCAGTGATCAAAAGAACCCTGACACACAATGCCATCCATGAGTTAAACTGAAAAACAAAATATTTCATCTTTGTGACACTTAAATAGAATTTGCTTAATAATTTGGAAGAGAGAGAGATATTACAGGGTATTTTAACTGGGAGTCAGATATGAAGAGTGGGGAGTATCCATCTTTTATATTAAAGTAGTAGTAAAGGCTGAGACTTTTTGTATGGATATAATAATTTTATATATAATGCACAATAATGGTAAATTTTTATTTTTAATGCTTTATATTGCCTACAGTCTATCAGCCTCAAGCTTCCCTGGATTTGGATTTTGATCTTCTCTGCACAATGCCCTTAAAGTGATTTGTAAACCTTGGATTTTTTTTTAATCTTCAAACTTCTACTTCCCTGCGCTGTGTAAATGTTTTTGCACAGAGCAGCCCTGAGTCTCCTCTTCTGGGGTCCCCCACTGACACTGTTGGCTCCTCTTGCATTCAGAGTGCCCCTACAACAAGTGTCAAAGTAATAGTATAAATGGCAAGATAAAAAAACTTCTGTCAGAAGAATCACTCACTTTCTTCTCCTGCCCAGGAACTACATGTTCCATGAGGCATTGCTCCTCACACAGTCACATTCACAAATTAACAGGCACTTACTGACATGTATGGATGGTGTACTGAGCTGTATGTGTACTGCACTGTATTTTCTGATATGTGAACAAGTAATGCATTCTGTATGCAGGCCAACTAATCGGTTGCCCAGCTAATTGATTATGCAAATATTTGACAACTATTTTCATAATCAATAATAATCGATTATGATGATTAGTTGTTGCAGTCCTAATCTCAGCCCTTTTTTTTTAATATTGGTACATGCTTGCTTTTGGCCAATTAGCTTGTATCATTCCAGTCAAGTAAGCTGTCCTTAAAGTACTACTAAACCCAGAATCCTGCATTCACTGTATCTGGTCTCCCACTGTACACAGAACATGGAAGTGCAATTATTTTAGTAAATATAAACTTAAATACCTTTTCTCAGCAGTAGTTAGAGCAGTCTTGTGACTTCTATCCGTGTCCAGCAGAGCACATGTTAAAGCTTGTAGGAGGAGTTTTCATTTTGCTCTAGGAGGATGCAGAACTGACCTGACCTGCTGATTGGCCCTGTTTTGATCACATGCATTCTCCCAAGAAAAAAAAAACACCTTTTTAGCAATACACACCAAACTGAGCATGTGCACTGTGTCTCCACACGATATGGCTTATCAGGAGATGAGGGACACTGAAAGAAGGGGAGGATCAGGGAAGTCAATTTTTTTTTTTTTTCTTATAAGATGTATGAACAAAGACATTCCTTTAATGAGGGAAATTTAGGAACTTGCGTCAAAGTTCATTATTTACTACCAAGCTTCAACTAGAGCTGCCAATTTCACAGTGATGAACCATTATCGCAATCATGAACATTATTATCATTACAACCATAGGCACTTGTGGCTTAATAATAAGATCCACAACCACGTTACAGTGATTGATACCCGCAGCCGCGATCGGTGCAGTAGGTAGAGCGGTTGTGCGCTTTGCACGCGCCCCCTACCCCGTAATGCAGGATCACGTTTATATACGTGATCCTGAGCACAGGGGCCGCCTTGTAGCAGTATATGTACTGCGGGCGGTACCATAGTGGTTAAAGGGACAGTTCACCATTATTAAGATTATATTAAGTTGGCACTTTTTTTTGTGTATTTGTACCACGATATACAGGAAGTGTGACTACACTGGTCCACGTGATGTGATTATGGATTTAAAGGGACAGTTCACTACAAATTATTTTATTGCATGATTTATGTTGTATTCATAGCACTGTTTATGTGCACAATCTACGGGAGTTTATATGTACTTATTGGAAGAGATTGAGTAGCATACAGTGGGGCAAAAATGTATTTAGTCAGCCACCAATTGTGCAAGTTCTCCCACTTAAAAAGATGAGAGAGGCCTGTAATTGGCATCATAGGTAGACCTCAACTATGAGAGACAAAATGAGAAAAAAAAATCCAGACAATCACATTGGCTGATTTGGAAAGAATTTATTTGCAAATTATGGTGGAAAATAAGTATTTGGTCACCTACAAACAAGCAAGATTTCTGGCTCTCACAGACCTGTACCTTCTTCTTTAAGAGGCTCCTCTGTCCTGCACTCATTACCTGTATCAATGGCACCTGTTTGAGGTTGTGGACAGGTGTCTTTTATACTGATAAGTTCAAACAGTCACACTCCAAACTCCACTATGGTGAAGACTAAAGAGCTGTCGAAGGACACCAGAAACAAAATTGTAGACCTGCACCAGGCTGGGAAGACTGAATCTGCAATAGGCAAGCAGCTTGGTGTAAACAAATCAACTGTGGGAGCAATAATTAGAAAATGGAAGATATACAAGACCACTGATAATCTCCCTCGATCTGGGGCTCCACGCAAGATCTCACCCTGTGGGGTCAAAATGATCACAAGAACAGTGAGCAAAAATCCCAGGACCACACGGGGAGACCTAGTAAATGACCTGCAGAGAGCTGGGACCAACGTAACAAAGGCTACCATCAGTAACACACTACGCCGCAAGGACTCAGATCCTGCAGTGCCAGACGTGTCCCCCTGCTTAAGCCAGTATATGTCCGGGCCCGTCTGAAGTTTGCTAGAGAGCATTTGGATGATCCAGAAGAGGATTGGGAGAATGTCATATTGTCAGATGAAACCAAAATAGAACTGTTTGGTAGAAACACAACTCGTTGTGTTTGGAGGAGAGAGAATGCTGAGTTGCATCCAAAGAACACCATACCTACTGTGAAGCATGGGGGTGGCAACATCATGCTTTGGGGCTGTTTCTCCTCAAAGGGACCAGGATGACTGATCCATGTACAGGACAGAATGAATGGGGCCATGTATCGTGAGATTTTGAGTGCAAACCTCCTTCCATCAGCAAGGGCATTGAAGATGAAACGTGGCTGAGTCTTCCGACATGACAATGATCCCAAACATACTGCCCGGGCAACGAAGGAGTGGCTTTGTAAGAAGCATTTCAAGGTCCTGGAGTGGCCTAGCCAGTCTCCAGATCTCAACCCCATAGAAAACCTTTGGAGGGAGTTGAAAGTCCGTGTTGCCCAGCGACAGCCCCCAAACATCATTGCTCTAGAGGAGATCTGCATGGAGGAATGGGCCAACATACCAGCAACAGTGTGTGCCAACCTTGTGAAGACTTACAGGAAACGTTTGACCTCTGTCATTGCCAACAAAGGATATATCGCAAAGTATTGAGATGAACTTTTGATATTGACCAAATACTTATTTTCCACCATAATTTGCAAATAAATTCTTTTCAAATATGATTGTCTGGATTTTTTTCTCATTTTGTCTCTCATAGTTGTGGTCTCCCTAGGATGCCAATTACAGGCCTCTCTCATCTTTTTAAGTGGGAGAACTTGCACAATTGGTGGCTGACTAAATTCTTTATTGCCCCACTGTATATTGATTTTCACAAGCACGGCAGATTGATTGTCACCATTTATATATGCACGTATAAGGTTGCAAGCAAAATTATATTTATTTCATTGTTGCGCTGCATTTTTTTTGCGTAAGTCAAAAATATTGTTTTGCTTTTTTTTTTCTCAATTGTCACTTCTTTTTTTTTTTTTTTTGTATAAAGAAAAAAATAAACGCATATGCAATCAAATACCACCAAAAGAAAGCTATATTTGTGGGAAAAGGACATAAATTTCATTTCGGTTCAGCGTTACATGACCGCGCAATTGTCAGTTAAAGTAAAGCAGCGCCATATCGCAAAAAATGAACTGGTCAGGGGAAGTGGGTAAAGGTGGAGAAAGTTCTGAAATTATTTCTTTTGTCTTTTTTTTTTTTTTTTTTTTTTTTACATCACAGAAACCTGACATTTTAAAAGGGGTGTGTAGACTTTTTATATCCACTGTATCACAAGATAGGAGACATAGTCACTTCTTGGTTCTTGGACTGCATGCTACAAAACGTGCATGTAACTGACGATGTAGGATAGGCTTTAATGTAAATAGGGTCAGACATTGTCCTTGTAAGAGACTCTTATGATAAACTGTTTTCCTGTTTACAGGTGTGGAAATGTGAAATATGGCTATAATAGGTTGCCCAGAACATCTGTCATCATCGCATTTTACAATGAAGCATGGTCCACACTCTTGCGAACAGTCCACAGTGTCTTGGAAACCTCTCCAGACATTCTTCTTGAAGAAGTTATCTTAGTAGATGATTACAGTGAGAAAGGTAAAAAACTTTTTTTTTATTTTTTCTTATAAGATGTATGAACAAAGACATTCCTTTAATGAGGGAAATTTAGGAACTTGCGTCAAAGTTCATTATTTACTTCCAGGCTTCAACTAGAGCTGCCAATTTCACAGTGGTGAACCATTATAGCAATCATGAACATTATTCTAATCCCCAATGCTATCATTACAACCATAGACACATGTGGCATCATAATAAGACCCACAACCACAAGTAACCTTCATTCTACTTCAAATTTGTGAGTAAACAGATTTGCAATGGATAAGATTGGCTGTGTACTGTAGCCACTCCAGGAGATTAAATCACAGTTCTATAGGAATGAATGAAGTCTCTCTCAGTTGAATAATTTAAGCAGTTCAGTTGGTTAAAGCACTTTGCTGCAAAATTTGTGGATGTTGGTTCAATTTTATTTTGACCAACGTTTTCCCTGTTGTACTTAAGACCCTGGAAGAAAAGCATTATTCAGAAGCTGAAGTTGGAGGGTGCTGGAGACTAACACTGGGGTTTTCGATCTAATCCCATAACCTGACATATGTCCATGTACCTGGGCTTCTTTTATTTTTGGTAGTCCTGTCACTTCTTTACAGTAGGTGTAAGGGTTCAATCCAGGGAAACTCTGCAGGAGAAAAGGGAATGTGCCTCCGATGCCAAGGCCTAGTAACTTCCATATTTGATATAAAATATTCAGTTTTCAGTATACTGTAATTAACATCACTATTTTATATCTGTATTTTGATTGTATAGTAACTTTTTTTCTTTTTTTTGTCATTTGTTATGCTAACAGGAAGTCACCAGTAAGTGATTTGTGTAGATTGTGTTGAATAGCAATTAAAATTGCAAATGCCTATTCGGATTATATGCCTGTGTTTTTTATTTTTAATGAAAAATAAAGCAGTATATGCACTAAAGGTCACAATTTGGATTTCTGCAAGTAAGTTTGAGGCATATTGTGGATGCCTCATGATTGCAAGGTAAAAGTGGTGGAAATCCTGCCTGACCTTTACATTTTATTGGCCATAAAATTTGTCAGCAGTTCTTCACTAGCAGGACCACTGATTTGAATCTATGTACACTAGTGGTGCACCGAAATGAAAATTCTGGTGCCGAAACCGATACCGAAAATTCAAAATGCATGTGGCCAAAAACCGAACCAAAATGTCTGCGTATGTGGAGGAGGGGAGGCTCCAATTTTTATTGTATTTTATTTATTTATTTTTTTGAACTTATGATTTTATTGCTGTCACATAGGGGACCAATAGTTCCCTATGTGATAGCATATGAGTGACAGGCCCTCTTTGTAGGGGAAGGAAGGGGGCAGGAGAGGAGCAATGTATACAGAGGCTCTCACACTGGCTGTCACCATATGTCATTGCCGGGTTTTAAATGCAATTCCCGGCTTTTTTGTTTTTTTCTTTCTTCACCATAGCTCAGAGAATGAATGAAACTTTTCTTTCATAAACTTTTTGTTTCGTTTAGCTCTGGGAAAGTGACAGCTGATTCTCTGAGCTATAGTGAAAAAAAAAAAACCCGGCAATCGCATTTAAAAACAGTCACTGACATATAGTGACAGCCAGTCACTGTATACACTGCTCCTCTCCTGCCTTTCTCCTCCAGCCCCCCCCCCCCCCCCCCCTCACATCTGCAGTACACACAGCCCCCTGTATCGGCACCTGTAGTGACTACATTTTTCCTATCAGCAAAATGCTGATGGAACTATTTTCGGCCGATTATGTTTCGGTGGACCCTTAATGTTCTCCCTTTTACTGTGAACACCTATGTATAAAAGCATTAGTGTATAATTCTGATCTATATCTCTCTGTTAAACAGGCTAACATGTTTTCCCTTCAGCCATAAATGAAAAACGAGAGAATAGACATTTTATCATAATACACAAAGTCAAACGGAGCACATCAAAGTAAACCTTGCAAATGGGTGCTAGATTATATTGCAGGACCCTCAAGGTGTAGTTACCGGGGTGCTGTTATGCAAATTGTTACCTCAGCTAGCATAGTTTGTTCTGTTTTTCATGCTTTTTTTTTTTACAGTAGTACCTGCATGTTGGTATGAGTATGCAGTTTGTGTTTTTGTTTATTAAATTTGAACCTTATTCTTACAGCACTAATTTGATTTACTGTAATTATGTAATGTTCAATATGGTTTTAGAACATCTGAAGGAAAGTTTGCAAGAATATGTGTCTGAACTGAGGAAAGTTCGACTAATCCGTGCAAACAAGAGAGAAGGTCTCGTACGAGCACGGCTCCTTGGTGCATCCCAAGCTAAAGGAGAAGTTTTGACTTTCCTTGATTGCCATTGTGAGTGTCATAATGGCTGGTTGGAACCACTTCTAGAAAGGTACCATCTTTCATATGGATTATATTGCTCCGTGTATACTATGTTTGTTTTTTTTTGTTTTGTTTTTTTAAATCACACTTTTTAAAAATGTTTGTCTTTTTAGATTATTTTTTTTTTTAAATATACATATATGAATCCAAATTGATTTACATAGAACATCAATAGCAGTGTTAAAAACTGACTTTTTTGTCAAATTCCCATGAGCTGTACATATAAAAGACTAAAAGTGGAATCAACCTGGCACTTAATGTGAAAAAAAGGGAAAAACACTTTTAATTCTATCATTTTCAGCTCTTTTTTTTTTTTTTTTTGCACATTTAAAAAATGAAAACCTTTTTAAAAAAATGAAAATACACCTTGCACAATATTAGCTCAACTGTTCAGCAAATCTATATTTCAGTATCAAAAATATGTATGTGCAAATTGTTGGCTTACTTGGCTCACTATGATGAAAACACGTCTGTTATAACCCTATGTACACAAGAGGGTATTATTGTCAAGGGCCTCATTTGGTCATGGCAGAAGTTCATGAATTTTTTCATGATTTGTATTCTTCTACCCTGAGCAGCTCATTGTGTAACACCAGTGTGTTACACAATGCCTTCAATGCATAGCATGCACATAGATAGCACCAGCTCAAAAAAATGACTCCCTGCAATTTTGAGAGTCGAGAAAGTAGAAATGGCAATGGCACATTTTGTGAAAGCTAAATCTCCAAGTACTGATTGCTTTCCAATAGTATTTAATGCACTATATCTGCAGACTTTCCCCCCAAAATTACTCATATTCTTTAATAGAATGGGGTTTTTTTTAATATGGCTTTGATTCCTTCACCCTACCAACTCAAGGAGGGAAGCTTTGATTACCTTTATTCCCAAGGCTGGAAAGGATCCCCTATATCCTTCCTTCAAGAGGATGTAAAATTACTAGCAAAAGTGTTAGCTACTCAACCTAATCACAACCTTTTAATCCATATAGATCATTGTGGCCTTATACCAGGCAAGAATAAAACTTTAATACTAAAAGCCTTTCCATGAATTTCCAGGCTTTCCATGACTATGTTAGCAGAGGAAAGATGGTAACCTTGAATGCTGTGAAAGCCTTTGATTCTGAAGAGTGGTGTTTTCTGCGGCATTGCTTGCAAAATTATGGATTTTTTTTTTTTAAATTTGTCAAATGGCTGCAAATGTATATCAAGCCCTTGTGGCCAGAATATCAACTAATGGTTGGGTATCAAAAATTTTTCCTCTTTTTTGGGGGACAAGTTAAGGTTGCCCTCTGTCAGCGTTACTCCATGCTCTGGTTGTTGCATTACCAACAATCTCTGTTCATTTCCACCCTGATAAAGTGGCAGTAAACCGCCTACAAAAAATCTTAAATAATGGCCCCCCTGCAGTGTTAGGTCATAATGTACCAGTATATGCACTGAACCCTCCAGTGCCATGCTGTCATGACTTCCCAGTGCCGCCATCTTCAGCTGGTCTTCCTTCCAGATTCGGAGGCTCCAGCAGTATGAATGGCCGGAGCCACGATGACGTCACTCCTGCGTATGGGTTGGTGACATCACTGGCTGCATTATGTGTGAATATTTCCTAAACTGTGCACGCTTAGCAGATATTCACTGTACCTACAGGTAATCCCTAATATAGGCTTACCTGTAGGTACAACTTAAAAAGTGGACTTTACTTCCACTTGAAGGAGCTGCGTATTGGTGACTTTGAGGAAAACATAGGGCTGTATGGAGACTATCTCCCAAAATCTCTATTTAGAAGACTTGCATCCATGCCTCTTGGGTGCCCTAAAGGCCATTAAGCAATATGGAAGGTTCTCTGGTCTATAAATTAACACTGCAAAATCGTAAATCCTACCCATTGATGGCTTTATGCCCATGATCAGTGAATCCTCCTTACCTCCACTTGTGGGCTAATGCTGTCAAATACTGAAGTCTTTAAATTTCCAGAACACTCCCAGACTTTATCCTTCTAAATATCAAACCCCTTATTGAGCATATTAAATCTAAAATTCAGTAGATCTAATAAAAGTAATTCTGCTTTCAAAAATCCTTTATGTACTGTGGCACTCCCTGGTATATCTCCCATTGAAACGCTTCCAAATGGTAGACTCCCTTTTTAATAATTTTCTAGTAATACTAGAATGTATAACATATGCTGAAATAGCCTGTACTTAAAGTGGAACTTCACCCAAAACACAATCAGCCCCTGCCCTCACCCCCATATATTTGTGGTTTAACTATTTTTTTCTTGGAGCAGGTACCTATTTTTGGCAGGTACCTGCTTCACTTCCACTGGACAACTGGAATTTTACCCCCCCCCCCCTTAAACCTTCTGAGACATGTCGCAGATCCCAGGAGGCTGTTGGTCTATTGAGAAATTGGCAGTGCTACTCGCGCATGCACAGTGGGGAGCCAGGTATGAAGCACCAGGGAGTCACCGCTGGATTTCTTCATCCAAGATGGCGGAAAAGGATTCAAAAGACCATCGAAGAACCAGCTTGGGTGAGGACATCGCTGGGTCCCTTGACTGGTAATTACATGTTTATTAGAAACCAGCCTCTGACGTATTTGTAGCTGCGGACTTTATTATTCATATTTTTGTCCCCAGAGTTCCTCTTTAAAAACACAACTACTCTTGGGGGAACTGAATTACCAGACAAAATAGAAAGCTTTATATTTCTATATTCTGCTGTGTACAGTGCCTTGAAATTTCAAACTTTGTGTGTCCTTAAGATTTGCACAACAGAGCGTAGAGAACTTCATGGAGTGGGTTTCCATGGCCGAGCAGCTGCATCCAAGCCTTATATCATCAAGTGCAATGCAAAGCTTTGAATGCAGTAGTGTAAAGCATACCGCCACTGGACTCTAGAGCAGTGGAGACATGTTCTCTGGAGTGACAAATCACGCTTCTCTGTCTGGTAATCTGATAGATGTGTCTTGGTTTGGTGGTTACCAGGAGAATGGTACTTGCCTGACTGCATTGTGCCAAGTGTAACGTTTGGTGGAGGAGGGGATTATGGTGTGGGGCTGTTTTTCAGGGGTTGGGCTTGGCCCCTTAGTTCCGGTGAAGGGAACTCTTGAGGTGTCAGCATACCAAGACATTTTGGACAATTTCATGCTGCCAACTTTGTGGGAACAGTTTGGGGATGGCCCCTTCCTGTTCCAACATGAATGTGTGCACCAGTGCACAAAGCAAGGTCCATAAATACATGGATGAGCGAGTTTGGGGTGGAGGAACTTGATTGGCCTGCACAGAGTCCTGACCTTAAAAAATAAATTATAAAAAATCCGAAGCTTTGAACTCATCTCTTACCCCTCATACACTGCACTTGGCACAGAAAATTGTTCCTTTAAATGGGAAGACAAGACACTGAATTACTTTGGAGTCAAGCTTACACCTACCTTAGATGCTTTATATGCTAGGAATTTCATTCAGTTACTTAAAAGTCCATTTCTCTTGGTCTTTCTTTAAACTTTGAAGTATTTCTCCTGGTTTGGCAGGACAGCAATAGTCAAAATGACCATATTGCCAAAAATAATATAATTTTTTCCAAACCCTACCAATCTACATTCCATCATGCTTTTTCCATTCATTGCAATCGCTGCTTAGGAGATTTCTATAGGCAAACAAGAGACCGCAAATTAATCTTCATCTACTCATTAGATCTAAAAAAGTGGAGTTATAGGCTTTCCTAATTTTAGGAATTATTATTATGCTTCTCACCTGACTCGAATCCTAGATTGGCACGGTTATGCAAACCATAAAGATTGGGTCTCTCTGGAAGAAGACCTTGGTTCCTTACCAGTGAAATTCACCCCATAGGTACCACCAGAAACATGTCCAACCAGTCTAAAGCAACATCCAATAGTTGGGGCAACACTAAAAATATCAAAATTCAGTCTTGCAGTTAAAGGCTTTAGCCACTTCAGGTTTGGACACTTTCACCCCCATCTAGTCCAGGCCAATTTTCAGCGCTGTCACACTTTGACAGTTGTGCGGTCATGCAACATTGTACCCAAATGAAATTTAGCATTTTGTTGAGACCGATTAATACTTTTCTTTTGGTGGTATTTATTCACCACTGAGATTTTTATTTTTTTTTGCTATATAAAGGAAAAAAGACCAACAATTTTTTTTTTTTCAACAATCCGTTTTTTATTGAATCTTAAAGATCAATATACAGCGATCAGACTTACAATGTAGATAGTCCTTTGTAAGTGATTGTAGGGAATGTATAACAGCAGTATTCCACAACTTCATCCTAATAACTTCAGTAAGTTCTCTGATAGAAGAAAATTAAAGAAAACAAAACAAAAACATGACATTCGTGAGAAGTAGTAAAAAAGGCAACATTCGTATGGTACATATCAACCAATTTCAAATGGGTATATAAGGAATCCAGTATTTCCATGTCTGTTCAAAGTTTTGTAAGGAGTTAAGAGCTTGCTAAGAGCAAGCATTCTTTCGTAAGTGTAATTAAGATTAATCATGGTTATGAGTTCTGATATACTGGGTGCTATGTTTTTTTTGCCACACTTTGGTAATTAGTGATTTGGCTGCTAGCAAGATATTTAGTATAAGAGTACGATGAGGAATAGGCAATATCTCAATACCCAAGCTGAGTAATGCTAATGCTGGGTCAGGAGGAGATACAGTTGCAAGAAAAAGTATGTGAACCCCTTGGGATTACGTGGATTTCTGCATGAATTGGGCATAAAATGTGCTCTGAACGTCATCTAAGTCACAACAATAGAAGAACACAGTCTGCTGAACGTAATACTACACAAACATTAGATGTTGCCATGGTTTAATTGCACATAACATGTAAACGTTCACAGTGCAGGGAGGAAAAAGTATGTAAACCTTTGGACTTAATAACTGGTTGACCCTCCTTTTGGCAGCAATAACCTCAACCAAATGTTTCCTGTAGTTGCAGATCAGACCTGCACAACGATCTGGAGTAATTTTGGACCACTCCTCTTCACAAAACTGTTTCAGTGTAGCAATATTCTTGGGATGTCTGGTGTGAATCGCTCTCTTAAGGTCATGCCACAGCATTTCAATTGGGTTGAGGTCAGGACTCTGACTGGGCCACTCCAGAAGGCGTATTCTGTGCTGTTGCAGCCATTGTTTTGTTGAATTACTTGTATGCTTTGGGTCATTGTCCTGTTGCATCACCCATCCTCTGCGGAGCTTCAGTTGGCGGGACAGATGGTCGTACGTTTTCCTGCAAAATGTCTTGATAAACTCTGGAATTCATTTTCCCATCAATGACAACAATCCGTCCAGGCCCTGAGGCAGCAAAGCAGCCCCAAACCATGATGCTCCCTCCGCCATGTTTTACAGTGGGGATGAGGTTTTGATGTTGGTGTGCTGTGCCTTTTTTTTTCTCCTCACATAGTGTTGTGTGTTCTTCCCAAACAACTCAATCTTGGTTTCATCTGTCCACAGTATATTTTGCCAGTAGTGCTGTGGAACATCCAGGTGCTCTTTTGCAAACTTCAAACGTGCTGCAATATTCTTTTTGGACAGCAATGGCTTCCTCCGTGGTGTCCTCCCATGTACTCCATTCTTGTTTAATGTTTTCCTTATTGTAGATGTGTCAACAAAAATGTTGGCATGTGCCAGAGATTTCTGTAGCAACACATCCAATATCATCACACTGATTGGAGTCAAGGTTGGCTCACTCCTGGCTCCATTTAGCTCTGGGAGAAGTCATTAAGCTAGGGCCTCACATACTTTTTTCCTCCCTGCACTGTGAAAGTTTACATGTTATGTGCAATTAAACCATGGCAACATCTAATGTTTGTGTAGTATTATGTTCAGCAGACTGTGTTCTTTTATTGTTGTGACTTAGATGACGTTCAGAGCACATTTTATGCCCAATTCATGCAAAACTCCACGTAGTCCCAAGGGGTTCACATACTTTTTCTTGCAACTGTATAATTTCTACCAAAAACAGTGATTGATCTAGTTAGTGATGTTGCACTATTATTTTGAATGCAACTGTGTATACCATAGTTTGTAGATGCTATAACTTTCACACAAAACCAATTAATATACACATATTGGGATTTTATTTTTTTTACCAAAGACATGTAGCAGAATACATTTTTGCCTAGATGTATGACTGACTAAATTTTGAGTTTAGTTGTGTGAAAAAGGATATACATTTTGTTTGGGTACAGCGTTGCATAACCGCACAGTTACCAGTTAAAAGGCACAGTGTTGGGTAGCAAAACATGGCCTTGTCAGGAAAGGGGGGGGGGGGGGCTTCCGGCCTGAAGTGGTTAAGTTCCACATAAAGAAATGGTTGTTTACTGTAAAGCTTTGAATAGCAAATTAGACTTATGCAAGACCTAAGGACCTACAGTATGTCATTTTTTTAACCTAATAATTTTGTAACTATGTCTTTAGTGGGGGCTAGACTGTGTAATTAGACATTGTCACAGTAAAGTGGATGAAATAAGAAAATAGGGGTTGTTAGTATAATGGAGGTTGTGTTGTTGTCTTTTGTTATATGGCATAAACATGACTGTAGTTTATTTTGTGTTGTTCCTCAGGATCCGGGAAGAGGAAACTGCAGTAGTATGCCCAGTGATCGATGTCATAGACTGGCGTACTTTTGAGTATTTAGGCAATTCTGGTATACCTCAGATTGGAGGACTCGACTGGAGACTTGTTTTTACTTGGCATGTGGTCCCAGAGAGAGAGGAAAAGCGAAGGCGATCATCTATTGATGTCATCAGGTTTGTATAGCTATACAGTAATATTGATATATTGTATGCTTTAATATTGTGGTAAGTAAAGTGATTGTTTTTTTTTTTTTTTTTACACACGCATATTATGTTTATAGTATGAAGAGAGAAAAACCTGTGGGGCTAACTCTGGCAATGGTAGCAGGCAAATAGACAAAAATGGATAAAGTGCATTCACCATGAAAAGTATGACATGAAGAAGAATCATTTTTAGTACTTTTTTCTCTTGTCAGAAACTAAAACTACAGTTTTTTGGAGAGAAAGAAAAGCTATAGTCCCCAAGGTTAACATTGCAAGAATTTCCTAATTTAAAGTGGTTGTAAAGGGTGAAGGTTTTTTACCTTCATGAGTTCTATACAGGGAGATAAAAAAAAAAACCTTCAGTGTGCAGCTCTTCCCGCAGCCCCCCTCCAATACTTACCTTAGCCCGATATTGATCCAGCAATGTGCACAAGGGTAGCACCTCTCCCAGGTCTCTCTCTCTCCTCATTGGCTGAGACACAGAAATGGGAATCTGTAAGGAGGGGGCAGGGGAGGGAGCGAGCAGGAGTGCCCCCAGAGCAAGCTGCTTGCTCTGGGGGCACTCGGCAAGGGGGGGGAGGGGCCAGAAGCACCAGTGGGGGGGACCCAAGAAGAGGAGTATTGGGGCTCCACTGTGCAAAACCATTGTACAGAGCAGGTAAGTATGATGGGTTTATTTAAAAAAAAAAAAAAAAAAAAAACTTCCATAACCACTTTAATGGTATGTATTGTAATTTGGGATTATAAAGATATTGAAACAAGCCATTCTGTCAAACTTCCCAAAAGTAAGGCTGGCTATACATGGGTAGAAAATAGCTTGAAAATAAGTTTGCATTTGACAAAGATCTGTTGAATGAGCATGTGATTACTCCATTGTTAATACAAATTCGCCCCCCCCCCCTTATTAACATAAGCTCGTTCAGTTACAACATAAGTAAATTTTTTTGTCGATTTGATTTCAAAATGCAGAATGTGCTCATGCGCAGTACAATATTTTTTTTTTTTTTTGTGTGGGTTATTCCCGATAGATTCCCCATCGATTCCACTTCTTGTGCTTTGAAAATTGTTTGTACAAAAAAATTCCAACATGTCTGTCTTGTTTTGCCTTTCTTTGCATTTCAAGAATCAATATGATACCCCCAACATTTAGAAAGTGCTTCAAACAATTTCCGAGCAATTTTCTAATCATCTATGGCCCTCTTTAGTGCTTAGTACAAGGGTTTGTTTATAATAAAGTCTCAGTGTTGTAATAAACTATTCCCCAGGTGTCCTTTCACACTTGCAAGGCCCTTATCAGATAAAACAATCACTGAAATTGCAACATTTTTTTTCTTCATTAAAGTTTATAATCTGTTATCTGGTAAAAAAACTATTTTAGTAATTTTATATACAGGTGAAACTCGAAAAATTAGAATATCGTGCAAAAGTTCATTTATTTCAGTAATGCAACTTAAAAGGTGAAACTAATATATGAGATAGACTCATTACATGCAAAAGCAAGATAGTTCAAGCCGTGATTTGTCATCATTGTGATGATTATGGCTTACAGCTCATGAAAACCCCAAATCCACAATCTCAGAAAATGAGAATATTGTGAAAAGGTGCAATATTCTCGGCTCAAAGTGTCCCACTCTAATCAGCTAATTAGGCCATAACACCTGCAAAGGGTCCTGAGCCTTTAAATGGTCTCTCAGTCTGGTTCAGTAGGAATCACAATCATGGGAAAGACTGCTGACCTGACAGTTGTGCAGAAAACCATCATTGGCACCCTCCATAAGGAGGGAAAGCCTCAAAAGGTAATTGCTAAAGAAGTTGGATGTTCCCAAAGTGCTGTATCAAAGCACATTAATATAAGGTTATGTGGAAGGGAAAAGTGTGGAAGAAAAAGGTGCACAAGTAGCAGGGATGACCGCAGCCTGGAGAGGATTGTCAGGAAAAGGCCATTCAAAAGAGTTGGGGACTTTCACAAGGAGTGGACTGAGGCTGGAGTCAGTGCATCAAGAGCCACCACACACAGTCGGATCCTGGACATGGGCTTCTAATGTCGTATTCCTCTTGTCAAGCTGCTCCTGAACAGCAAACAATGTCAGAAGCGTCTTACCTGGGCTAAAGAAAAAACAGATCTGGTTTGTTGCTCAGTGGTCCAAAGTCCTCTTTTCTGATGAGAGCAACTTTTGCATCTCATTTGGAAACCAAGGACCCAGAGTATGGAGGAAGAATGGAGAGGCACACACTGCAAGATGCTTGAAGTCCAGTGTGAATTTTCCACAGTCTGTGTTGATTTGGGGAGCCATGTCATCTGCTGGTGTTGGTCCACTGTGCTTCATTAAGTCCAGGGTCAACGCAGCCGTTTACCAGGAGATTTTGGAGCACTTCATGCTTCCTTCCGCAAATGAGCTTTATGGGGATGCTGACTTCATTTTCCAGCAGAACTTGGCACCTGCCCACACTGCCAAAAGCACCAAAACCTGGTTCAATGACCGTGGGATTACTGTGCTTGATTGGCCAGCAAACTCGCCTGACCTGAACCCCATAGAGAATCTATGGGGCATTGCCAAGAAAAAGATGAGACATGAGACCGAACAATGCAGAAGAGCTGAAGGCCGCTATTGAAGCATCCTGGTCTTCCATAACACCTCAGCAGTACCACAGGCTGATAGCTTCCATGCCACGCTGCATTGAGGCAGTAATTGCTGCAAAATGGGCCCAACCCAAGTACTGAGTACATATTCAGCATAAAGGATAGTGAGCGCTCTTATAAATACAGCAGCTAGAACACTTCAGGCAACCACAATGCCTCCAAAATATCAATAAAACCATAAAACATCAGAGTGCAGCGCTTAGAAAAATAAATATGTGATTAACAATAGCAGAGAGTCAAAGCATCCACAGTGTTTCACTGGAGTAATGTGAACTTCCACGGCCTTTACTCTTTCAAATAACAGAAATGCGCACTCACCAGAAACGCAATGGTTATGCGCATGTATGATCAAGCATCCCAGGTGATAGGTACATCAAAGGTTAGGCAGCAGGCATTTCCCTCATGGTGGGTCATCACAGACTCTTTAGTCAGGTCCAGGGGTCCCCTTAAGGTCAGCCAGGTGCTCCACACAAAACTCCTCTCAGGGTGGCAAAGTGCTTTCTCTGTGGGGATGATAGCTCCACATAGGAGCCCCAGAAAAACAGATGCCAGAGATAGTGTAGTACTTCCCAAAAAATTTTTATTTATAAAAAACACAGCAGGGCAGTATGCATAATCAATTTCATGTAAGAACAGGAAAAGCAGCAGTACTGACCCCAGTAAAGATGGCCGCCGGGCCTCCTCGTGGCTCCGGCGGTGAAATGACGTTACGCTCTGCACAGCTCCTCCTTAGGCCTTTCGTGCTACAGGTACATTATCAGAGGGGAGGCTGTACAGGAGCGTGACCGACGTCCGTGATAAATATAGGGAAACCGGCACATGCGCAGTTAGTCTCGGCCATCTTCCCGAAGAAAACAGGTACTGCGCATGCGCGAGCACGGCAGCGCCATTTTGCCGTGGATCCGCAATCTAATACATAGCAGGGAAGAGACAGAGAGATGTCTCATTTCACAGCCCTTCGGTAATAGTTACCTACTATGCCGCAGACCCCAGGGAATTGTTATAAGCACTCTACTCCCAAATAAAGTGACAGTGCAAAGTACAGTAACAGTAACCATGCGCATATTAATATATGGGGTATGAGAATCCCCTCAGTGAATGGCATATGGTTACAATAACGGACCATGGCAAGATGAAAAATAAAAATACATACATGTCACAAAGTCATAATAAATCACAAAAGAATTAAATAAAAGCAAATAGAAGAATAAAAGAGGTAAACCTTCGCAACGGATGGCATATCTGGTCTTATAATGCTAGACCACATCAAGGTAAGCATTATAAATATATATATGCCCTAAAAACATGATAAATGAAAGCAGACAAAGGGATAAAAAGAGGTAAAAAACCCAAAATAGAGTTGAATAAACAATGTAGAACAATCCATTAAAATCTTATACAGTCACAATAGTTCCTCTATTAGTCCCCACATCAGCGGTACAAATGGGGGTAAGGAAAAGCATCCAATTGTACAAGGACTGGTAAATAATAGTCAGTAGGGGTGGGAAAATGATCCATGATCACTAATAAAAGTGAAATCTAAAAAGCGTAAAAAATTATTATTAAAACATCATACTCATGAAAAAAGTACCCCACGTATTGGTAATAAGAGAACACACTGAAAATTCGACCAAGTATGGAATATAAAAAAAAAATGAATAGAACGCATCAGGTAAAAATTGGGCCAAATATCATAGAGGGGTAAAAAAGAAAAGAGGGGGGGGACACAGAAACAGATCCCATCAGCTGTTAGCAATAAAGCAGTTAACGTCTACCTCAATATTGTGGCCTAAAGGGTGTAAGGTATGGAGCTCAAACACCCATTTCGTTTCGGCTTGGGAAACTGCTCTTGTCTTATTGATACCCCTCCAGTGGTTACCGATCACATCAATACCAATGAATTTTAACGAAGATGGATCATTATTGTGATGAAGACGGTAGTGGTTTGATAAAGAGTGCTCCCTGAACCCTTTCTTAATATTTGAAACATGCTCACGCAACCGATCGCGTAACCGTCTTGTTGTCCTGCCAACATACAGTTTACGACAGGGGCACTGTAGTAAATATACTACAAACTTACTGTAGCAAGAGATAAATTGTTTAATGTTGTAAGTTCTGCCAGTAATTGATGATTCAAATGTGTCGACTCTCTTTTTTCTGATATTATTGCACTTGCAAATGATACACCTATTACAGGGGTGAAACCGTTTCAGATCATTAAACAGGGATATGTTTCTAGGGGGGTCACGCTAGGTTGCGTGAGCATGTGGCCACTCTCTCGTTCCTCCTCCTTTCCTGACCTGCTGGGCTGCATGTTCGGATAAGGTTC